TTCCAAAAAAAACACTCACTCGGTAATAGGTTTGTCACAGTACACTATAACAATGGTGTGAGGGGGGGTGGACACGGGTGCGGGGGGGGGGGGGGGGGGGGGGGGGGGCGCGTTTCTACACTTTTTTCATGAAGAGGTTGGTTCGAGAAAAATGAAATTCGCTATTTTCGTTACGTAAATTCAATTTTTTGACACTTAAAGATAATTTGTGTACTTCAGTTAGTAGACATATTACTTCAGACTAATTAGTTATACAACAGCACAGAAAAATTTGGGCCACGAAAGGCGGTACTCTTAAGTTACTTTTATCGATTCAAACTGATGGATTAAAAAACATATTCGTCTTTTTCTTGTTGCAATTCTTCAAAGACAGCTATTATATTCTAGTTGTTTCAGTGTATAAATTCTCCGAAATTTCGTATCATTGAACGTTCTCTAACATGAACAAAAAACGAATGACATGCTCGAAAATTCTTTCTACACTTCAAGTGTTATTTTTGTTCAGTATATGAAATGAAAACGTATCGTGTACATAATAATTTTGATCTTGTTTAGTAAAGAGTAAAGAAATAATCTGATTAGAGAAATAAAAATAATCACGACATCGAGCGGCGTAACCAGAATTTTTAGACCAATGGGCAAACTTCTGTTGTGTCAGAAGAAAACGATGGACAAAATGGGCAAGGTTTTTATCGATAGGCCAACAATGTTTTGGCCCAACAAAGTACTGATAACGTTAAAAAAAGCACAAAAAAAATGAAATGAGGTTCTTATAATCAAATATACATAAAACTTAGATCTTAGGTCTGAGTCAAGTGTGTTTTTGTGTATTTTATACCCACTATAGCTGAATGGTTAAGATGTTCGACGCATATCGGCAAGATAGTGTGTTCGGACTACGGCGCCAGCAGACATAGAATGATCTTGGACAAGTTACTAACGGCTGTTTGTCTCGGACCACCCATCCGGTAGCACTCTGATTACGTGTGACATACACAAAAGTTCTTGTGGCTAGTATGTGGTTAGTCAGTATGCATGGGGAGCTTAAATGATTAAGCGGGAAGAACTCTGAGTCAGGCTGGCCCAGAGTTGGAACCGATCCGGTCGAACCGGACCGATTGAGTTGGTTAGACCGGCCCCTCTGTGCCGGTTTTCACCGGTTTAGAATTTTTTTAGATATGCCATTTTTCTTTGATAAAATATGTCGAAAGCAAGTTTACATGCATTTATCAAAATAATCAAACAGTATTATTCACAGTTTATCAATTTTATCTTCTTCTCTTCGCCTGTACTTTTTTTATTTTTTAATCGAACTGTATTTCGCCTTGTGAAAAACACAATCAAAACAACTGTGTTACTTGAGATGAACTTCTCAATTTATCTGGCTGATGTATGTTAGAGACTAGATTTGAGTTTGAACTATCGTTCTAAGAGAAATATAAGGTTTTTTAGTAAAATTTAAGTGAAAAAATTCAAGATTCATAGTTTAGAAATCACTTGTCAGATAAATTGACTTTTTTTGCGCCAGAGAAACATCACATATTCATTTCTGAGAAACCTTAATAACATAAACGACTATGACATGATATTTTCCCTTAAAGCTTCCTAAAATAGAAGCAAAAAAGGAAACTGAATGGTTTTAATGCCATTTTCTTTAACAGATTAAAAATGATTTGGCAAGCCGGCCGATTTTTACCGGTCTGAAAAAGCGTTTGGAACCGGCCAGTTTTTCGCCGATATTTACCAGTTCGAATATTCCCGACCGGTTCCAACTCTGGGCTGGCCTTCTGTGCAGAGCTGCAGCTAGTAATAGTTGTAGAAAAACATCGGGCTTTCGCAACTGTCCTTGGACAGCATCCTATACTGAAAGGTAGCCGAAAGGCAAGGGTATTCTTCTTCTTCTTCTTTCTTTTGTGTATTTTAAATATCTCTGTTTATAACATTTGTATTTCAAATTCAAACACCAAAATTCAGACGACAATGACAAACTTGGGTATATAATTTCAATATTCCATCTGGATTTATATCGAGATCTTCATGAATGTATGCAGCAGCACAGAGCTGGGTAAGTACGGGTTTTCTCGAGTACGAGTATCAGTACGAGTACTACAAAAATCGTACTCGAGTACGAGTACTTCGAGTATTTTGCCCAGCTCTGCAGAAGCAAGTCTGTTTAGTCTATTTTGTTTCATTGTAGATCGACAATAACTTTTAATTCTCAATAATTGACTAAAACTACCCAGACAGACCAAAATTTTGAAAAACGCGTTTAAACGCACAATCGGGAACCGCGACTGTGATCCATTAACGATCATTAAAAGAAACGTACTGTTATTCTAGAACTTAAAAACAATACGTTTTAACGCTCGAAAATTGGAGTTTTCGTCGTTTTAACATCCATGAAGTTACAAAAAACGCCAATAAACGTGTTTTCGTGCGTTTAAACGCATTTTTCAAAATTTTTGTCTGACTGGGTACTTTCAACAGAAGTTGTTGGTACAGGCAATGTTGCCAAGAAAATTAATAAATAACGAACATTTGACCTTTACGTGGTTAGTGCTTTCCTAATAAAACCGATCTCACGTTTACCCAAACTTACAGATAAAATACAAGAACTGATTCTTTTCTTAATTCTTCACAGAAATAAGAAGCAAAGAGTGCATGTATAATGTAGACGGAGGAAAAAAATACAGTTACTATATAATTCAACAATAAATAAACAATTCTGAAGAAGTAAAGCTTCAATAGGCAAAAATGTAATAATAAAAATTACAACGAGCAAATCTCCAAATGAAATGGACAATTGCTCCAGCCCCCCCCCCCCCCTTCCTTGGCTACGCCGCTGACAACATCCAGAAAACGTATAAAGTGTATCTGAAATAACAACACTGTTTTGAATTTTTGATAAGAGTACTAATGGTTACTCTCAAGAAGCTGTATCTAGCGAAAATAGTCGTATTTAGATAGCTGTTTCTTTTAAATCGACGAAAACTGATTGTCTCAACTATTTGAAACAATCCGATCTCGGTCGAATCCCTTAGAACTCTCTAATACAACATTAATTTAACGCCAAGTCACGATTACGATGAATGACTGAGCAAAATCAATCTGTATCTATCAATATTGCTGTGACTAAAGGTCCATTTACTGACAATGCAAGTCATAAGCCATCAAAAAATAATAGCATTTTACTTAGCAGATTTTTATGCTTAAACACTTAGGTATTCATTACTATGAGCTATCATGTTCTAAATCAATTTTCGACTTAAAACTCTGTATAAATAGAGTTTTAAATGGAGTCAGTTCATTGTGAAAGTGTCTAGGATTTCCTATTCTTTGATGCCAATATTTAAGTTTCTTTTATGCGAAAAAAACAAACATTTTTCTTACAATTATATTTTAGAATAAGAAACTCTTAGAAATTCGATACTTTTATGATGAATTACTCCTGCTGAAAAGTTTATTTGTGCAAAATTTGAACTCGAAAATCGATTTGGCGGATGATCCGACACGAATCATGACATTTTCTTGAAAATCTCACTAAAATAGTTATAACTCCAGAAGACAGACTCATTGAAACAAACCCTTTTAAATATTCTCTAGTCTCAATACGACTAGGACTATCACGACTGAATAGTCACGTTGTTCGGCTCAAACCTTGGTACCACCAGCTATAAAATAATCCTGAACAACTCACTGACGGCTATTCGTCTGATACCATCATGACACAGTTGTGATATACACCTGCTCTTACTAAAGATAGTAATAGTTGTTAGACACAAGTAGAAAATACTAATAATATTCGATAGCAACTGTAATTTCTTATTTAGATGGTCATATGGCTAGTAATGAATCATCAAACACATCATCACCTCCATTCACTCGTTATACAAGTACTGAATCAAAATATGATGTTAATGATGATGATGTATCGTATAAAGATCATCCATTACGTTTTTTTCGTACATTATCACAAGATTATATTACTGATTGTGAACGAACTGAAAATAATTTGAAAGAATTATTTGATTTAGCTGATCAACAACATATACTTTATTGTTTAAAACATGTTGATTGTGGTTGTTCACATGATATGTTAACTGTATTTCATCGTCAACTTGATGCACTTTTTGTTTGGTATAATCTTTATTACGAATTAACAATATCAGTTAAAAAAATAAGTGGTCTATTACGTTGTGATGATTGTGACGATTGGCCAAAATTACATTTTCGTTCCATAACTACAACTCGTGAACGAAAAGCTAAACGAGCATCTAAAGCTGATATTGATTATTATTCATCAAGTGATGAAGCTGAATATGATGATGATGATGATGATAACGATGATGATGATGATCATGCTGATGATAATGCAATAGACATAAGTGAAGAAAGTGAAATAGAAGATGAATCAGAAAATAGTGATGATAGTGATATTCTACCAAAAGTATGTTTAAAAACAATGGTTTTATAATGTTTTGTTCTTGTTAAGTAACATATATTATATATGCATTAGAACTGAAAAATAATTCAGATTTTCGAAAGTTCATGACGAAAAATGTAGAGGTGTCTCGAGCAAGGGAGAGGATTAAGCCCCATTTTTGAAAAGAATTGGTTTTTCTCCAACGGAGTCTAATTGTTCTTCTGTTTTTTTTGGCTCACTAATTTCCAGGCAAATGTGCAATCCTTCAAAATTACGGTCAACTATAGCAAAGGTCTTTCAATCGCTCTCCAGAGCAATCAGCCCTCCCACATCCTGACAACTTCAGAATACCCTTGATAACGAAGAATGTGAGATTTAGGCATGAATGTACTTGTTCTCCTCATTCCGCATCCACCATTGAGATATAAATTTACTTTTTTACATTTTTGAAGTTTGTTTTAGCATAAATAGAGATTCAGTTTCATACACATTTTTCTATTTTAGTTTTTATTCGATACATTTTTGAACTGAACTAACACTTAAGCACAGAATATAAGATACGTAATCTTTAATTCGAGATTGACCTAGGCGA